CTGTGTCAGAGAAAGCACACCCACGGAAACAGAGAGGTTTAGCACCAGCATGGAGCTGAAGGACTGTTTGTGAGCTAGCAGTGTGCTGACAGGTGATACGCTTCCATCTTCTTTTTTTTCTTTTTCTTTTGACTCCTCCGTAGCCAAGAGTGGCTTGAATGGTGTGCAGAGCCTTCTGATGTACAAAGTAAGGCCAATGGCCAGGCGGATGTGTGAGAAGGGGCTCCTTCCTAGGACGGGGACGCTGGCCTGCTGGGGAAGGGGGGTTCCCTGAGGGCCCCAGCCCTCACTAGCCACTTAGCTTATAACAGTGCCTGCCTATGACCTGGCACTTTGGGGCAGGTAAGAGCACCCCCACACCCCCAGAAGGATCATCAAATCCTCCCCCCATTATCAGTCTCCATCCGTTCACCTCACCTCCTTTCTCATGCACCCCACTATCTGGTGCCCGCTTCACACTAACCCTCCTCCAGAAAGGCTCAGCTCCTGATTCTGTAGTTCCTGAGGCCCCACCCCCACCCCACAGAAACCAGAGTCGAGGCTGTTAAGACAACAGGAAGGCGGGCAGGAAGGGCAGGGAAGATGGTGCCCCTGCGGGACCGCTTCCATTGTTGCTGCAGCCACTGTCCCCGAACATGCCGTCCCTCGCAGCTTGGGATGGGCCTGCAGTTCAGTTTACAGATTCCTTCCACAAGCTGCCCGCCTCTGCCACTGATGTCTAAGTGCCCATGTATGTCTACCCCGTAAATGCCAACATAACCTGCCTGACAAATCACAGAAAACCAGGAGACTGAGGGTGACTTTTATTTCATCATTTGTGCCAAAGCCCTTCCTGGGGACCTCTCGGGGGAGAGTGGGTTTGGGGCGGGTGGGGGCAGCAGCAAGCACCCCCGAGGGCAGGTTATAGCTCCGCAATAAAACCTGGATGTCAGGGCTCAGCCTTGAGCTGGGGTGGCTGAAAGACCAACCTGGTCAACCCCACTGTGTGTGGCCACAAGGACATCTTTATAGCACAAGCTTCTGCTCTACTCGGAGGCAGAAAGTTACCCGAGTCTTCTCTACCCTGTGTACCCCGACCTCCGTGACAAGAGAGTTCGTCAAAGGCAGGAAATGCCTCGAACTTCCCAAATATATCAAATTTCCAGTTTTTGAGAAGCTTCTAAGGTTGTTTCCAGTATTCTCTCTTTATCAATAATATGGCAACAGACATCTCTGTCTACAAACCTTTGCTAGAATCTTTTTAAGAATTTAAAATTCAGTTGCCTGCTACTCTTATCCTAGGCTCTGGTCTGCAAACAACTTTGCTTTCCCTTGGATCTAATTTTTTTTTTAAAGATTTTATTTATTTATTTGAGACAGAGAGACAGAGAGTGAGCGGGGGAGGAGCAGAGGAAGAAGGACAAGCAGATTTCATGCTGAGCGCAGAGCCTGACATGGGGCTTGATCCCAGGACCCTGAGATCATGACCTGAGCTGAAATCAAGAGTTGGATGCTTAACGGAGTGAGCCACCCAGGCGCCCCACACTGGATCTAATTTTAACGTCTGAGAAAAAGACTTAATATTTTGGACAATGGGACAAAAATGCTCAGGAAACTTGCTTATTCCCACTTTAATTCAGGAAGGATATTCCTGCTCCTCAGACAGAGGCTTCTAAGTTCTGTCTGCTCCCAAGCATTATTTGGCCTCCTGGGTCACTGGCTTTGGAAGGAAGCAGTGTATTCCTTAATTACATTAACGAATATAAAGGAAATTTCTTCTTAATTTTTTGGGAAATAATATTTTGAAAAAAGATGTGAGGCTTGGTAATGAGCCGGACTAAATGCCAGGTAATAAATAAGCCAGGAACCCCACCTCCCACGTTCTCAACTGGTTGAACATCTGGCATCCTTGGCAAAGTTTTCTCCTGGACTGAGGAAGCTCTGGAAAGTAACTCTTTTTTTCACCTTCAGGGTCGTGAAATTTACACTTGGGTTCGCCATCTCTCCTGTCTTCTCTGATACAGTCCATGGAGACATATTATTTGTAGGGGATTCTAAAAGTCACAGCTTCGGGCCTGAATTTGGATGTTTCTGGTGATTTTTCTAGTTTATTGGCTAGTGAATTCTGGGGAGACTTCTAGCCTGAAGCCTCAGCAAAGACACGCACACTTAGATGGACTGGTGTGTCTGCCACTGCTCTAGCCCCTCACCACCGACCCAGGCTGCAGGGGGGCAGTGGGTGGGACAGACTGTGCTGCCAGAAGGTCAGCACGTGGGATGGGGAGATGGCCCTTCATCTGTTGCTCTGGGAGAGTGGGGGCTCTGACTCATGCCTGACAGAGGAGACAGCCAGTGTGAGCTCTGCTCTATCCGAGAAGCAGCAGCTGATGGAATGGAAAAGATAATGCTGGTCTGGACAGCAACAATGACATACTTAGTGCTTCTCTGAGCCAGAGCTGTTTGGAGCACTTCCACGTACTCATTCATTTAACCTTCCGAGCAACCCCTCGACGTAGATAGTAACATTATCTTGTCTTTACAGCCAAGGGAACTGAGGCCCAAAGAGTCATGTAACTTCCTCGAGGTCACACAGGTAGGAGATGATGAAGCCAGGCAGTATGATTTTAGCCAGTTCGCCTCTCAAAGGCGTTAACAGTGCTCTGTCCGCCAACGAAAAGGCTCAGTAGCCATGAGAAAAACCAGGATCACGTTCGTGGTCCTTGGGCTCAGGTAAGACAGGAAGAGAAAAATGACCCAAGCCCCAGGAATGACTGGGACTCCCGAGTTCCTGATGGTATCACGCTCTCCGGTCTCAGAGAATCAAGGACGCTTGATATTCTGATGATGGATATGTGACATGAGGATAGCTCTTTACCATTCATGAGGTACTTAGCCTTTCTCCTCAAAATTTAGAGCTCAAAATTATAACAGAAGTTAAGTATGAAACAGCATCAGGCCCAGAAAGCTTTTAGGTGCATGCTGCAAATTATATATTGTAAACGCTACAGGCCATCATTATAATAACTGCTCTTCCCACAGAACATGGGGGCAACATGCATTTTGAATCCTTAAATTGAAAAGAAATAAATATGTGAAAAAAGAAGCCAGGAAACATCATGAATATATTTCCACTCTCCAGGGTGATATAAAATAATACCATTTGGAAAATGGCTAGAATTATTCTTTTGAGGTCAGTCTAATGTCACTTGGTAGGAAGAAAAATTCACATTAATTGTAAGCATTTGTACCTGTTGTTTTCCAGCTCTACCTATGCATGGATTTTATTTGCAATAGAAAAACATCTGTGGCTTCTCTATGTGATAACTGCATGTGTGTGTGCATGCATGCGCGTGTGCACGCACACACACACAAATTCTCTATGCATTTAGCAATAATGCAATCACACTTCAAAGACATCTGAGACCTTAAATACATGTTGAACACTTTCCTTGTGGTGGTCTACTTTTTATTTTTATTCTGGTCCTTTAGGTATCCTGCCCCAATAAACAATTTGCCTGAGTAGAATAGCTACAAAAGCTTTCTGTGAATATTTTCCCTAAGTGTAAATTATTGGAAGGCTGTTTATATAATTTATGAAAATCTTTAGTCTTATGTCCTTTTAAGTTTGGTGAATCTGTCGTACTGACAGAATCCTGCTTTTACTCTGTGCTTAAAGATTGGATTTATTTCTTCATCTTATCGTGCAGGAAAAGAGAAATGAAATTGTACTTTCAGATGTACGTACTTTCGTTTTGGCACACACTCACTGAGGTTCAACACTTCTGCAGTTTTCACTTGAGTTTGTCAAATGTAAAGCAAAACAGGGTCATTCTTTCCATTCAATCCTGGCGGTGTTTTGAGAACATTAACTGTATCATAAAAAATTTTTATTCATTCTCAATGATTTGGCTTCTTGAGTATTGTTTGACACCCCCCCCCTTACCCCACGTACTGGAAACAACCACAGTTTATAAGAATTTTAGGACCACAACATGACTCAATTATTTTTTTGTCTCGATGCTCTCTATTTTGGTTTTTCTATCCATAATATTTTGTGCTAAATCACTTCAACATGAAAAACGAGCAAGTTTTCCTATTGCCTTTTCTGTCCTACCATCTGCTGGCAGCCAAGTAACTTCTGCAATAGTGTTGCTGAAAGGAAAACCACCAAGGAAGACTGAGGGTCTACAAGATGACCGATTGCAAGAGAAATACAACCTCCGACTGTTACCTGTTGTACAGACTCCCAGATTTGGAGGAGCCCTAGGTGACGTCCTGTACGTCCCCCATCCATGGCTATCACCCTGGGAGAAGGTTCCAGGATCTCTGCACCCATAGGGCTGTTTTCATGACCTCCTGATTCTGTCTCATGCTTCTACTCTTGCTCTCTTCCCCCTGATTTCATTTTGTACAAGAGCAGACTTAAAAAATGTAAGTGGGATTTCTGTCCATTGCCTAACCCCCTCTGTGGTTCCCATGGACTTAGACTATAGTCCAGACTTCTTCCCATGGGCATGGGAAGCCCTGTGCAGCCTGGCTCCTGCCTAGTCCTCTGTCTTAGTCTCAGGCCGCTCTCTCCCATGTCCAGTCTGTCATAGCCACACTGGGCTTCTGTAGAGTTCTTGAACACTGAGCTCCTTCCTGGACTGCTTTCCTCCCAGATATTTTGCATATTTGGTTTCATCCTATCAAGCAGGAAGGGGCTCCTCTCCCCTCACACCAACACTCTCACACTACTCAGTTTTATTTCCTTCCCACTGAAATAGGAACAAAGAGCTTTTATGGGGGCTGTGGGGTGAGGGGGACATTAGATGTGATCTTGCATTCTTCCCGAGCCAAATGTTCAGGAACGTTTGGCTAATCCCATGTTGTGGATGTCTTATTTGTGCCCACAGCCCACAAGCTTCTGGCTCCCCAAGATGCCTACAAAAGTCCTCCGATCTGCATGTCCAGTACCCCCACAACCAGGACAAAATGAGCACCAGACCTCTTATTGAAAGGCAAGCGCAGCCATCACTTACTGATAGTGGATCCAGACTCAGGTCTGTTCAGGGAGCTGATGATGACAAAGCCGAAGCCTTCGTTCTCTTTGCGGTGAATGACCACATCGCTGGTCTGCAGGCTGTGGGAGGCGAAGCCTTCAGGTGGAGAGGCATTGCTACTGGGGGCAGCGTGGTTGCTGTTGGTGTAGGTGGCGTAGTCACTGCGCGGGGAGCTGTGGTGGGTTGACACGGAGCCTGGACTCCTCCCGTTCTCTGGGCAGGGCTCCCCTGCAATACACAGCGTTCCCGGGCACTCGGTTATTTAACAAGGGTCTTGATGAGTGCCTCTGTGTACTGGGTGCAGTTCTAGACATTGGCATTGTTATAAGACTGGCTGACTGGCTTCTAGTCCCCACGAGCACAGAGCGTTTGGAGGGCTACAAACCCAGCTATGGAGCACCCAGGTCCAAGCCCCATTCCATTCTTCACAGCAAACACAGCTAACCCCTCATCAGCTTCCTCTGTGCTGCTACTAGTTCGTAGCTTCCTCTTGTTAAATCTGCAACCCCCACCCCTACCCCCTGCCCAGGAAAATGCCTGGTTTTAGATAATGAGCTTTTTTCTTTTTCAGATATATTTATTCATTTGAGAGAGAGAGAGAGAGAGAGAGAGAGAGAGAGAGATGGGGGAGGGGCAGAGGGAGAGGGAGAGGGGAAGCAGACTCCCCACTGAGCAGGGAGCCCCACACGGGGCTCAATCTCACGATCTGACCCTGAAATCACCACCTGAACCAAAACCAAGAGTCAAATGCTGAACCGACTGAGCCACCCAGGAGCCCCTAGATATTGAGCGTCTTAGCTGCATAATAATAACTGATCAAAGATTACAAAACAGGTGGACAGTATCTTAAACTGCATTGTGCACAAGAATTACTTAAAGAACTTGTAAAAACTGCATCTTCAGGGTCCACGTGTGGAAAGTGTATTCAGTAGATTTAGGAAGACTGGGCACAGGAGAGAGAAGCCCAGTGAGGTTTCTTTCTAGGGCACCGTTGAGCAATGCTGCTGGAAGGGTAACAGCCCAGGATGTCCATGTAAAGAGACTTATCATAATTTTACTAAAGAAACATGGTTTTATTTAATTTTGTGATATTCTGTTAGCCTAGAAGTGATAATTCACTCCGTGTAGGTGGAAAAGATCTTTCTTAAAGGATCCTTCCTTTATTCACTCACTCTAGGATTAAATCTAGCAGTGATGTCAGGCCAAGGGACGATGCGTTTTGAATTTCTGAGAGAGGTGTGGGTGGCATTGCTCATTTATATTCTACATTATTACAGAACATTATCAGCCAGATAAACCAAACCAATACTTCCATGAGAAAACAAGCTACAGGGAGAAATGATAGAAAGTTGGCAGCCAAGAGAAGCTGCTTTTTAAAAAATGAAAGTTCATCTGTCATTGAGAAAGAATTTTGTCATTTTAATTTAATACCTAGGTTTTGGTATTCTGATTAAGAGAACTGAAGTGGGCACCCAGAATACTGTAATTAGAAATAAGACTGTTTCATCTCATCTTACAATTTGATTAGTGTGCTCAAAAGATGTTTATGGAACAGAGAAATAGTAAGAAGGAAAGTAATCACAATTAATGATTCCTTTTTGGGTCTCTAGATATGGTCTCCTATTTAGAGCTCTGGTAGGGGTCTCACAAGGCAAGTTAAAAATAATTAGCAAAAGTCCCAGTGAAGGCTCTTAACTTGGTAAGTGGCAATTCCATTCTGAAATGAAAAATCAAATTTCAAAAATCAAAAATCATTTCAAAAATCAGGGAGAAAGAACACAGACTACAAGAGATTTTTTTTTTGTTCTACTGATATGTAAAGAAAAAGGAGCTGCATTTATTCACATACTCAGATTAAAAAATCATCTTACAAAAATGTATTCATTTCTTGTTTGTAATAGCAGAATAAGACCCAGGCCGCTGCTTATTATCATTTGATAAATTTGAATTTTTCTGTAAGATTTAATTAATCAGGTTTTAATTAAAGAAAACAAATGGATGCTTTTCATTTGTAAGAATTGTACCGAGGTGAGAGAAGAACAAAATGCCAATGTCAAAGCCTTTCCCTCTTTCCTACCAGAATTTAGAACTGCCTGTAAAATGTACCCTCCCCACGAGAAAATATCATCCAAAGACAAGCTGTTATTGTCTTGGTGAAGCACGTGTCCTTTATCAGTCCTTGCGCAAGTTGGAAATAAAGTGATTAGGGATAGTCAGGAGGAAGAAAAACAAACAATTATTAGGCTGCAACATTAAACTGAAAATCTCCCTGAGTTATTGGACCAAATCGGTAACTAAATGTCATAGGCAGTGACAAGAGAGATCTCATTTTCTGGCTGTCATATTTTAGGGGGTTGAGCGTTGTGCCTGTCACTAAAGCAGCAACAAAGGAAAACGATCTGTCTCTGCAGCGAGTGACTGGGAGTGGCTCTGCCACGGGTTCTAGAGGGAGAAAGAACGTCATCGACTAATCAACGTGAATGGTCCCTGAGGAAGGGGAAGAGTCCAAAACATTAACAGAATACCGTTCTATTGCTTTTGGACTTGTCTTTCAACCTCTAGAACAAAGTTCTTCATCTCTAACAACATGAGCACATTTGAAACCAGGGAGTTAAGATTTCCAATGGGCCATTTTGAGGGACAGAATTGATTCCACAGTTATTTTTCTATTCAGCGGGCTCTAGATCCAAATGTGACTGTCTTCTTGCCAACGACGCTTTCTGGGGTAGTGCACAAAGAGCGTTGTTTTAGAAGAATACAGTGAATGTCACAAAGTGACTAAATACCATGTTTTGTTGTTGTTGTTGTTGTTGTTGTTTTTAATTCACTACCTTCCAGCATCCCTGACCCATCCTTCTGGCTCTCACACAAATGGGTGTATAGAATTCGGGCCATTAGTATCTACTTAAGCCAAATAATTCATTTTTAGCTTGAGCTTCTGTTTTGTCCTCACCAGTCAGACTGGAAGTCATCCCTGAGCTGGCTGGCAGAGGTCTGTTTGGGAAGGCAAGCGTTGTTGGCGATGCCATCCAGGTGAGATGGTTTCCATGAGAACAGTGCGCCACTGGCCAGGGGCTGCTCCTGGCCCGCAGACCCATCCGTGATTTGTGTCCAGTGCTGGGCTATACTTTGTCTAATAATTGTTAAAACTGATTGCCAATGTTTCTAAAAAGGGAGATTTTACAGAAATATGGATTTCCAGTTTCTCTTGAAATACCTCGCAGTTCTTAGCCAGAGCTGGGCAGTGGCTACTCCCTTTACTGAGTTTGAGTTTGCAAGCCAACACGGTGCCAACCACCTCCAGTGTCGCCTGCAAATTCCTCACTTACTCGTTTACCGGTAGAGCGAGGAGGATGGCACGGCCAAAGGGACTTGTTCAACCAGAGCCTTTGCTTCCCTTCCAGATCACATGCTGGCTACCAGGACTCCAGGGTTCTGTAGCAAACACAGCCTGCCTGCTTCCAGGGTATTCGTGGGCAGGGCCCTTCTCCAGGCTGTACCCTAGAAGCATGATAGCACTGGAGATGTCTTGTCTCGAAGCGTGGCTGAGGCCATGGGGCATGCTAGCCCAGGCTGGAGTGGCCACATGCAATGTGCATCCTCACGGGACCTGATGGCGCAGGGGGCAGCCCACAGGCTGTGGCCCCACCAAAGCCAGAGGCTGGCCTGCCTGCAAGGCATTTGAGTGTGTGCACTCCTGGTCTAGACTCCTCAAAGCAGACAACTTATTTAAATGGGTGACACGCTCACAGACAAAGAAGAAGGGAACATGTTTAGAATTGACGAAAAGTGTAGTAACCAGGACCAGGGAATCCACTGGCACCCTAAACAATGGCTAAACTTTTCGGCCAGCTGACAAGAAAACCTCTCTTTCTCGGCACTAAGCCAAGAGTCAGACTTTCCCTTAGATGTGAGGGAAAAGTACTGATGAATAGCTTTAGGACGGACTCTAACGTGTTTTGATTAAGTCATAAAATGTTCTTTCACATCAATTCTAGATTGACACATTAGGAAATTCCTCAGAGACACCCTTCTCTCAGACGAATAGTGTGTATTCAAAATAATGTGTCATTAGGTTGAACGTCTCAAAGCTGAGCTACTAAACATATAAATATTTATACTTCAGTGTTATAATTAAAGCCACTCTTCTACCATCCTTGGGGGGAAAATAGCTAAACACTGGAGCTGGTGGTATGGATAAGACATCTCTCAAAACTAGTTGATTTTTTAAATTTTTTAAAAGATTATTTATTTATTTGAGAGAGAGAGAGTGAGAGAGAGAGAGAGCAAGAGTGGGGAGAGAGGCAGAGGGAGAGGGAGAAGCAGACTCCCCGCTGATCAGGGAGCCCGACACGGGGCTCGATCCCAGGACCCCAGGATCATGAAGGCAGCCGGTTAACTAACTGAGCCACCGAGGTGCGCCTAACAACTAGTTTAAAGTGTAAGATCTGTGCTGTACTTATCTGGTAAATCAAATGGGATGCATTATTGGATGTTTCCTTCCTTTACTTCAGAGTTTCTCCTTTTTGAGGATCTACCTTGTCCTTGCCTCACTGAAAACTTTGCCTTTCTGTCTTTAGTGTGTACACTTTAAAGTATTTTAATATTTATAGAAGGCTTTTGCGTTAATTTTTGCCCAATGTAACTAACCAGGCGGTATCCCTCCTAATAGATTTAGTGGTTTTCTCTTGAGCGTTAACTTGGAAGCCAGTGCCTGGTGCCTTCTGAGGAGGGACAGGACATTTGTACAAGCTGAGGCAAGCATGAGGCTGAAGGCTTTAACCTCTCTGACCTGCTTCTTCCCAGCTCCTGATACCGCTCCTTTGTTCGAGAAGGCGGCCACTCTGTCCCTCTTCCCATGCATCTTCTGTCTCTTCACAAGCTGATCGCTTGCTTCCTTCAGCTTTGAACCATCTCACTGTAAGTAAGCCAGGCTCGCACCTCCCACCGCCTTTGCTTGGGAAAGCACAATAATAATGGTAACAGCCCTTGAAAAGGCATCTTCACTGTCACATCCATTTGTGGCTGTCCTTTCTCACTGCTGGAGGAACAGCAGCCATGAAGAAAGGCTGCCTTCCTATGCCTTTAAAAAATCTGTTCCATCCTATTTCTAGGCATTTACTTTACTACCGAAGTATCCTTTCCTGAACTTAATCATTTGCAGTACTGATGAAGCTTTCAAGGAAGAGTGAGCTGAATTAACTTGGAAACTCTCCTAGTGTGAACAAGCGGTCTGCAGCTGAACATTTTCAAAAATTAAATGCACTTGAAATGCACTTGAAAGCCTAAATGAGTAAAGTTGGTAAGAACTGCAGCAAAGAGCATCTTCACGAAAGTCACATGATCCACAAATTGCAAGAATACATTTTTGTAGCATTTGGCATACACTCCAATAGCTTGGGTTGATTAAAACAAAATTTAATTTGCAATAATCAGCTGGTGGCAAAGGGAGCATGAAATTATGTTGGTGCATTGGTTTTGCACCTTGCAGTATATTTCCTTGTAAATCAGGTATCTTTTTAATTTATCTTTGGGTTACAGAACATATAGCACAGCAAACTTTTTATTAAAAATCACTCTTAGGGAGAGAGACAGTTAAATGTTACCAAGCAAACACTGTCTTCCTCCTGGCATCTTGCCCAAGGATAAGGCATAATTCAAGGTGTTTTACTTCTTTGGGTCAAGCGGTATGCCATGAATTTCTGAAGATGAATGGCACAAGATATATAGCAGTCTCTCCTGGTGAGGGCTGACAATTCTTCCGACTTGCCCTTTTAAATGATTGCCCTTGATCAAAGTCTAGTTTCTAGAAGACTTCAATAGAAAACAGTTTTTAGTTCAATTAATAAGCCTTATCTTCCCTAGTCATTCACAGCCTGTGATTAGCCAGTGGCACCCCCACCCCCCTCTTTTTTGATTCAGATGCATTATAATAATAACACATACGGAAGACTACTTAGGTCAGGGAGTGACATTTGCTAACGGTTGGTCTCACGTCTTTGAATTCCCTGGGAGGAGGCCCGAAGGTGGGATAAAGCAAGAAGCACTGGCTGAAGCCAAGAGCCTCTGCATTATCACTGACTCACTGCAGACTCCTGGGCAAGCTAGCCAACCTCTGGGCCTTGGTTTCCTTATCTGTAACATGAGGGAGCTCCTGCCGCCGAGGTCCCTCCTAATGTGTCTGAGGACAGCCAGGGGGCTGAGCAGAGAGGCCAGTGGCCACGAGGGCGGCAGGTGACAGAACATCATTGGTGCTTTCCTCCTATAATTCGCAGGGCAAAGTGCAGGCAGTTTGGGACCCTACTGCCAACGTTACTGAGTGCTTAGATTATGAAAAATAGTCGATTTTTGTAACAGACATATTCATAAAAATATAAACCTTTTGGGGGGGAATGAGATGGTGGAATCGTATTATGACTGTGAAGACAGACTTTTTAAAAGTGAAGTCTTTGGTGGATTCTTTTATGATGCTAGGGAAGAGCTGTAAAGGGCATAATCACTTCTAATTTACCGGTTTCATAAGTTTGGAGTTAAATGAATTGTGTTTTCTCAGAGTGACATAGAGCTGTATTTTTATAATGGTTTTATTGTTAACCTTTTATCAGGCTCTACAATGGAGGCGAATTTTCCATCTTAATTGCCTTATGATGGTATCGAAATGCTGTGGTTCTTGGTTTGTAAACACAATGAGGAACATTTTCCAAAGCTATATTCTCCGCTACCGTAATGTTCCTCTTATAACCAGCATCCACCAAAAAGCAAAGAGCATACACATCTTAAATTAGCCCCAGGCTCTGCTAGATATTTTTAATGACTGCACTGAAAATGTAGGGCTGAGAGACTGCTTGGAATTATAGCAGGGTGAAAATCTGCATTTTCACAATCATGGTTACATGTGGAAGATCTAGGCTGACTTTGTCCTTGTTTAATATAGAAACTGATTTAAAATTTTGTTTCAAGTGTCCTTACCATGTCCCACAAAAGCATTTCACCACCTGACCCCCAAGCCTCCCTGCTGGCTTGAGCCACACACCTCCACAGAGCATCTTCCTTCTCACAGTGAGGTTGACCTGCCCATTTCGGGCTGCATGGTGCATCAGGTCGATGACATAGCGGTGGGTCTTGCCAGCCACTGGAATCCCGTCGACATAGACAAGCTCGTCTCCTGGGTGCAGGCGGCCGTCTCTGTCGGCTGAACCCATGGCAATGACAGCGCCAATCAAAATCTAGAGAAGCGTGAGAAGGAAAGGATATTTACATTTCAACTTTTTTCCCCCCACACATACATAATTTCTTTATGTAAATATAATCATGGATAATAATATTTATATATAACTTCTTTGTATATAAATATAATTATAGACCACAATATCATATATACATATAATTTCCTTATATGTATGTACAACTTGGTGGAAGATTTTATTCCCACATTCTACCCCTGACTCCAAACCTGAGCATGTACTTGAAAAATGAAAAATGAGGGGCCTTTCCCACTCTTCCAGGTTGTTAACTCCTTTCAAAGAAGTAAATGTTTTGAACTCGCTGCTGATGGCCACGAGGTCTGGGGGACACTTGCTTCCTGGTGCACCCTTAAGGAAAATTCTAACCCCAAGTATTCTGATGTTATTGGCCACTGCCCATGTAACGAATTGGGGATTGAATCCTGGCTCCACTTCTTGTTTGTGTGGCCTTGGGCAAGTCTTAGCCTCTGCGAGCCTCAGTTTCTTCTTCGGCAAAATGAGGAAATAAAGTAGTGGGAGCTGCTTTATGGACTTGTTGGGAGGATTGAATGAAATAATGCATGTAAAGGATTTAACTTTGCTCATGGCACATACTGAGTGCTCAAAAAATGGCAGGGGAAACTAGCTGCTGCATATTATGAAACTGATAACGGTTCAATTTTTTTTTTTTTTTTGCTTTGCTTTGCTTTGCAAGGCTGGAGGTAAGGAGAAAATAAAATAAAACAAAGTAAAACTCACAGTTGGCTTTTCTGGCCAGGTGACTTAAAAAAAGTTTCAGTCAAACCTCCTCCCGATTTTTGCTCTATTCCTTTGAATAGTTCCTTGGAGCACTGTCCTCTGTGTAAAGGACATTCCCAGTTTTGCCTGTCCCCTGAAATGCTTCTGCTGTTTAGGTGACTCTCACACCAAGAAATGAGGAGGAACATATCTGGGAAATGTCTGCATGGGAATTACCCTGAGCCAGGGACTGTCACGAAAGACATAATATAAGATTTCCCACTTCCCACTAGAAACACTCAGGTTAGTGTCCATTAACGAGGCCTTTTTTTTCCTTTTTTCCTTCTCGGAGAAAAAACAATAGCACTAAATATTTTAGTTTCACCGTTTAACCTACGATTTTTCCAACACATGGACAATGGATATCCTATTTCTTTTGCCAAATGGCTTAGCCATACAGCATCCGAAGGCAGTTGTAACCCCTTAGCCTGATCATATTACAGAAGCTATTGTCTAAGTTCTAAGTCTTTATAAAAGGATCCCTTGCTCACAGATGGATTTCTTTTTTTTTTTTTTTTAAAGATTTTATTTATTCATTTGAGAGAGAGAGAATGAGAGACAGAGAGCACGAGAGGGAAGAGGGTCAGAGGGAGAAGCAGACTCCCTGCTGAGCAGGGAGCCCGACGCGGGACTCGATCCCGGGACTCCAGGATCATGACCTGAGCCGAAGGCAGTCGCTTAACCAACTGAGCCACCCAGGCGCCCACAGATGGATTTCTTTCAGGCACAATGATTTCTTTCAAACCCTGGATCCGTGGATCCCAGCTTTTCTGCAGAGCTGCCCCATTGTGACCGCAGGCTTGTGTATCTCAGGTGTGACGGCAGACTGATTCTTACGTGGTCACACTGCTTGGTGTGGCCTGTCAACAGGGCAACCTGACGTGAATGCCCAGGACGTCTTGGGTATACGCAAAATCAGAGGCTGAAGAGTATTCTCTTTTCCTGAAGACTTCCTAGCCTTGGTCCACTGACCAGCTGTCTTTCTCCATAGGAATGACAATTCTCTATGACTACAGCTACTTTTTCCCTATTCCTGGGGCTGGGCTGGGGATAGATTTGCTTCCACACTGAATATTGGTGCTCTGAGGAGGGATTCATTATTGCCATCACAAGGAAAGTCTCAGGGTACGGTGAGGTTCTTTCCCTGCAACGTTCCTCACCCATTTCCTACAGGCCAGCAGCTGGGCATGCTTGCTTCTGACATTCTCCCTTTCTCTAACTGTCATGCCAACCTGAATTTATGAGTTTCTTTCTAAAGATGTTCCAGTCTATTCTTCAAAAGACTGAACCCGCTAAGGAGCCCTTCAAAGATTTGCTAAGTGCTTTGTGCGAAAGCCAGTTAAAATGAATGTTTATGTTTCTCCAGGGCCCCGTGAAAAGCTGTATTTAGCTGGGTTAGTCCCCCCAAATGCTTCAACCTTTAGATTTCCTATGTGCTTTAGTGAGAGAGTTTACAGCTAGTTACAGAGAAGAAAATGGCGCGTGAGCTTCTTGGCTGGTTAATTATCAACTTGAAGCTATAGTTCTGACTCTCACTGAGAAAAGTGAACCAAAATATAGGTCACATCTGAGAAAGCCATGGCTCCAATTAGGCCCTCTACAAAAATAGTAAAAACAAAATTTCACTTAGGGGGAAAAAAAAAAAACCCCACCAACCCCCCACCCCCGGCCCCAAATTTCACATTGGAAAATTCCCATTCCTCCCTTGCTGTGAGCAGACAGCAAAGATATACACAGATGCCCTTGAAGTTATCGTCTTTGTTACTAGGTGATACCAGTTTTAGTATCACCTAAACTAGTATCACTCGTTAAAAGGAAAATCCCAGTAAAATATCTGCTTTTCTGCCGCATTGCTGGGATATGAGTACTAATTAATTAATTTATTTAGCAAATATTAACTGAACCCACAGGCACTTTTGGGTGTTAGGAATTCATCGGTGAACAATAAAGACAGACCCCTGCCCTTATAGAACTCCTAGTCTAGTGGTCAGACAATAATAAGTGTAATAAATTCTGCTGTATGCTAGCAGGCATGCACCACGGAGAAAAGGGAGCAAGGCGGGGTGGTGGGTGGGTGTCAGTCACGTGGCCGACGTGGTGGGAACCCTGTCCTCACTCCACACACCCCTCCTTCTAGCCTCACTGGATCCTTCAGCCTGTGTAGACCCACTCATCAGTTTTCTCCCTGCTCTTGGAGGAGTTCTGTATCTTGTCCTTACTGCTTTGGCCCTGAAGGAAGAACTTTGTGGCAAAAGAGCTCTAAAAAGACTGCCCCCTGACCCCATGAACAACCGATCCACGGCCTTAGCTTTTCAACTGCCTTCTCTAAAAAACAAAAGAATCACAACTCCACAACTCTATCTTACAGGCTGGGAGGGCATGGAACAAAACGGAGTATCTGATATGAAATAATAGCAATTCGCAATCAAGCGGCTGGTACCCTTGTCAGCCAGGGGAAAAAGCTAACCCAAAGAAAGGAAAATGAAAACAAGTAAGAAACAGACAAAAGCAAAATCATACGTGCAGTCCTTTTAACTCCTTTAATCCTTTCCTGCTCTACCTAATGCAAGTCCAACCCCGGTAGGGCTGAGCTGCAACCGTGACAATGTGGCAAGCCCATTTCAGGCTCCTGCCTTCTGAAACTTCTCTGCAAGTTTGCGCAGACTCCCTGACCAAGGAGTCTGTCTATCATTACCTCTTCTTTCTATGAACAGTTTTTCTCCATTGCAGCGTTTTCTAAATCTTTCCACCTTGATGCCTTCCCATCTCTTTTCGGCTCACAGTTGGAAATCCCATTTTTGTTCCTTTCTGGCAATTTTTCATTTCTTTCTATTTCTATTGTTATTTAACTGTGAAAAGTATTTCCTCTTGCAGGAAAAATGCCCATATCCTTTGTTGGAGTTGGAGTCCTGCTGTTCATTATTTGCCAAAAGCTATGTTGTCGTGTTTAATGTGCACCCTGAGATGTCAGTACCATTTCGTGTATATGGAGGCAGAAACCTGTTTGATGTAATTTATGAGACCTCCTGTGGTTGGGGACCAAGTCACCTCATGCGCCTCTCCCTTTGTAGCACATCAGCAATTAAATGAGGCCAGCACATTTTGTTTATATATTATCTCTGGGCTCACAATGGAGGAAAGCAGGAAGGAAAGGCTTATGGGAAATCTTTACAGTGGACTCTCTTTCTGACATGGTCTTTCTGAGGTGCAACATTCTGGTCTTCAAGGCATTACTCTCTGCCTTTGCTTGCTTTAGGAAGATCTAGCCTTCTACTTAAATGGCCTAAGGGTCAAAATTGTAACTTGCAGCCCGCGTGTGTCTTAAATCATTCAAATGAAAGAATAAACCAGAATAAATCTAAATAAACACAACGGGGATAACCAACAATCCACGTAATCTGAGGAGGCTTATCATAGGTACCGGATGCCTGCCCACTGCAAGGGAGAAAGGACTCTGGAGTCAAAGTCAATGCTCAGAAGGGTTGGGAACCTGGGAGCGTGTGCACTGATCAGGCGCAAAACTCTCCAGAGGCCGCATTCACACACCGGAGCTTCATTTTGAGTAATATGTGTTCCATCTGGGCAACAATTTTACTGCTTCAGTGCCAGGCAAGTATCAGCCAGACCCCACCCTTCTTGAGCTGGCTGAGACCGTGCCTTCCCTGTGAGCAGTCATGCAGTCCCTCCTACCCCTGGGGGAGGAGGGAGAAACTGGTGAAGACAGTATTTCCTGAATGTGGTTCTAGTTTACCTCCAAAGCAACAAAGCGTGAGCCTATGGGGGAGAGGGGTTCCAGCAACGTAAGAATTTCATATTTCAAAGACTGTACTGAAGTAAGCACCATGGGAAGAATTGGAACTTTATTTCTTTTACATTTATTTCATAGTTTAACCTCTTGTTTGTCCTTATCATATAAGGGAAGGAACCTGATAATATGCTTAGGGCTTGTAAAAGCATGAGCTGGCCCTGGTCGAAGATTCCTTTGGTGCAAAGTATTCATCTTTCGTCCAGTCCTCTGAGATGGGAGTGTCAAGGACAGTGGACTAAAGGAATAACACAGACACGCGGGTGTCTTGGGAACTGTGGCCATGTTTAGTTTAAAAGGGACCACCCCTTAGCTCCGGTTGGTTGTTGTCAGTGAGGAAGATAATAAGCCCAATGTTGCTAGATCTGTTTTTCAAGAGAATATATATGGAAATCTGAATTTTAAACATGTGAAATTAGTTGGTATCCCACAATTTTAAAACACTGGATTGAGCAAAGCATGTTGTAGGGTTCCTAGGTCACCATCCCTGACTCTAGGATGACACCATTTAAATTCTGCAGAGCCTGTAAAAGCATCGAGGGGCCTCAGAAAATGTAAACTCCAGATTATTACTTTTTTTTTTTTTTTCCTGAGAGGTTCAGGTGACAGTTTGGCTTGGTGAAGAGGACTCTTTCTTCAGTTCCGTTTAGCAAATATCTATTATGTTGGGCTCTGTGCTGGGCTTGGAAGATACAAACACCGTCAAAACATGGTCCTTGCCTTCAAGGAGCTCACAGATTGGTAGGAGGGAAAACGTATGTCAGTCAGTGCATTCTGGAACAAATAAGAACCTCGTCTTTCTGGTGGAGCTCCCTTAGGTTGGTAAGTTTGAAGCATTATGTTAGTATGAATATAATGGATTCTAATGAATTTACCTTTAAATGCCCTACAAAAGTCTCAGTGTCCCCCAGAATGCGATAAAAATCACCTTAAAGTGCCATTATTTCCTTCACTTAGTGTCTTTTAAACATATAGGTGTACAATAAAGAATTTAGCCTGAGCCCAAAGAGAGGTCTGGCTTTTCCTGAAATGTAACCTTTAGACCATTGGAACAGGAGTATCTTTGGTCATTGTGAGACCCTTGTACTGCAGCTGAGAGTTTATGCTAATGAGGAGACTCTTGGTGGGTACCAGTAGTTTATGCTAAAGGAGATAACTCAGGGTGGAGCAGCCACACCCAGTCTTGGGGGGGGTGGGGTCCGGGCGCTGACCAGACAAGAAAGACCAGCCACATAATTAGAGGGTTGTGCCTTTGAACCTTATGACATCAGCCTGACCTCTGGGAAGGAGAGGGGCTGGAGATTGAGCTCAACCACCTCAGTGACTCAATCACTTGCACTCACTTAAGACCGCAAGAAAAACTCTGGACACCAATACTTGGGTGAGCATCCCTGGTTGGCATCGATGCTAGGAGGGATAACTTGTCCCTGAAGATGATGGAAGCTTTGCACGCGGAACCCTTCCAAACTTTGTCCTATGGGCTTTTTTTTTTTTTTTTTTGGTTGGTCCTGATTTGTACCCTTTTAGTGTAAAATGTAATCATAAGTATGGCACTTTCCTGAGTTCTAGGAGTTGTTCTAGTGAATTATCAAATCTGAAGGAGGCCATGGGACCCCAAATTTGCAGCTAGTGTCTGAAGTGAGGCAGATTCTTCCCTCAGACTTTGCAACTTTGCAAAATCATTGTAGCCGTTGTCAGGAATGGGGGCAGACTTGGCAGTCTGGAGGACTGTGACCTTAACCTCCAGTTGGCTGATGGCACACTATTCATTTATGGGGACACCGACGGAGAATGAAAAGGGAAGGATGAAGTCCCTGCTTAGGGGGAATTTTAAATCCCACTGCTCAAACTAAATAGGGAGACATATGAACAGGTTAGAGAATGATCCTGAAGGAAACTAAGTCAGACAAACACTCTGTGGAAGCCAGAGGTTAAATGTTTACATATGTGAAGGAACTGGATACTATTTCTGGTTCTTTCTAGACAAGTTACAGAGAGGAGTGAGGCTGCCGCCTGACCAGGTGACCGAGGATCCCTGGTAAACTCAGAATCAGGTGGCAGATAGAGGGGGACAAGTCTGTGAAAGGGAGCGAAATGTAACTGAGATTTGTTCCTTCTGCCTGTGACATGAGATCCTTAATTTAGTCTCTGGATAAATAAGTCCCAAGTTATTTGTGCCCTATATTTTACCTTAGCACTCTCTTTCCTCCCAAAGCACTAGTTGGGAAATTCAGACAACCTCCATGGTAAATGCACTTTCACATCTCTGGCAGCTGGGGACTTAGTGATCTTGTGGTTGACTGATGCTGAGTTTTAACCCCCGAAATTAGGAAATAAGTCTTTTTTCCTGGAGTTCCCTCCTCCTTGGTGTCTAAGTTCAGCTCCTCAACATTTTTCCTAGTTAGGGGATCTCATCAATCATCTGGTCCAACTCCGCTCGAAGGGCCGAGGAACCTCTCTGGGGTTCCTGTCAGGTTCTTGTCAGCTCTGCTTGAATACTTCTGTGCGGAAGGAGCTCACTGTCTACCAAGGCAATGGATTTCACTTTGGGACAGTTTTCATTTTTACAGATTCCTTTCATTTGTTAGATTAACTTTTTTCTCCTGAAGATTTCTGCCCACTTTTGGTTCTGGTTTTATTTTCTGGAACAACTGACCAACAAGACAAATGATGATGATAAACATGCACTCAACACCTGATAGGATCCAGGCACAATACCAAGAGGTTTGCCTATGCTATCTTTAATTCTTAAAGCTCTCTCTCTGTGAGAGAGGACTATTGTGTTTTTCATCTTACAGATGAGGAAACAAGCTTTGCATAAGCTGGAATGGGGTGTCATTTATTCAAACCTTCCATGGACCTGACTTAGTCATATTGGGTACCATTTAAGACACACCTTTTACAATGAGTATTTTATGGCTGGTATTTTAATATGTGTGCATAAATCTAGCTTTGTTGAGTTTTCTGTATATTATTTTATGCTTTGACTCTGGTGTATAATGAGGGGTGTGTGTGTGCACGCGCGTGCAGGTTTAATTTTTCCAGAGCCTTTCTCAAATTTTTAATATTGTGCCAATTGAAGTTCGCTTTGTGAACATCTTCTCATGGTAATCCCTTAATTTGAATCTGGCTGAGATTCTGCAGCACTGAGCTTGATTTTACTTCCGTTTATCCCTGTGTTTTCTCTCCCTTGTACTTTTGATTGCAAACGTACATAATTCTGCTGGTCCAAGTCACCTCTTCACGTGTATCTTCAGTCATACCATGTGTTTACCTTGAATCACTGTCCAGAGTGACCAGGGGTGCAATACAGTTAAGTAATTGAACTATTCAAGAGGAATTCAATCCATTCTGAGAAAGAGTAGTGTCCCCTCTTAATGTATGTACATTAATTTATGATGATATATAGGCATGGAAACACCGACATGTTTTGAGAACTTAAAGAGCAAGAACACAAACCTCAAACTTTTTTTTTTTTTGAGCCTTCAAAGATTTTTAGATTCATACTGAATGATATTTCTCCTGATGCACACACACAGTAGAGAGCCCACAGTGTGGAATTAAAGTGGTTTCAACTTACAGGCTGCCCAGGCTCATCTCCCCCGAGGATTCTGAAGCCAAATCCAGACTCCATCCTGCGAAGGTGAACATCCAGCTCCTTATAATCTGGACCTGGTATAAAGGAGATCCTATTGAGTAATGAATCCTGTCTCTTCCCCGCTCCCTGAGAAACCGAACACACCAATGATAAATTAATTTTGTGGATGTGATTAATGAGAGTGCTGTTAGAGTTGGTGGAGAGCAGAGAGGATAAAAAAAATGTGGTAACAAAAAAGTTCCAAAATTAGATAGTCTCTGGATTAACAGTGATCAAACAAGGGCATTACTAGGGTATCACCATAGGCAGAAAGAACATACAAATTTCCTGACTCAAAAAAAACCAAAAAACAAAAAACAAAAAGATGATGCCTCTATAATTCTTTATCTTCCTGAGAGCATTCAGATTGCTCTCAAGAACACTGGCTGTCACTTTGAGGATGTTTACCCTGACTAGAATGATTGTTTCAAAAGTATGAGAGAAGAGATGACATCCTGGAACTAGAGTACTGCCTAATAATTTACAAATATCTCTTTATGTCTTGATGCATCCCATTTCGTGTGTGTCAGGCAGGGGTGGGGGGAGATACAAATTTATGCCTCATTGTCTTTTTTAGAATTGTAAAAATTAGAAAAAAAATAGAATTGAAACTTTTCTGTATTGGGAGTTTGAGTGAAGTTTTTATTTTCAGACAAACTCCTTCAGGGGTAGAAATTTGCCTGGTGTAAGTGAACTCTTATCTCCCCAGACATTTTACAATGTGAAAGACACTACTGATTTTACTAGTGTATTCAAGATAAACTAGAAGAGGGATAGTTCTCTCAGTTAGCTGAAAGAACAGAAATGTAGTTAAAAATAAGCTGGGAGACTCCTGGATGTCAATGTTTTCAATCATAGGATAAACACATGAAAAGTGTAAGACCTCTTTTGAGTTTTGAAGGAGAACGTGATTTATGCTTATGCATTACCCCTGGACCTTTGAATCCTTCTCACGGGGGTAAAGTCTCCATCTTGACTGAGTTGTGCATACTTTCGTGGTCATTGTTGGGATACCATTGGATGTTAGCAACTTTGGGGAATACTTATTGATGCCATCCTTTGCTTAAGAAGTATTTAGTGATCCTAGGCCTTTGTGGTTTAAAGGAGGTATTAGAATTTATAGAAGCAATATTAAATTGCTTACACAGGATGGTTTTGGAAATTGGGATGGGATTTCAGAGAATGATCCTCTTGGGACAGGAAGATGTGTCTGAGCCATTTGGATATATGGTACTAGTCATAGTTGGAGAGAGACTCAGTGGAATACTGGCCAGGCAAGTCTTTCTCAGGCTCTACAGTAAGTGGGGCTGCTGAAGTGATCCAGTAAACAAGGCACAATGACACTGGGTTTACCATGGTGCCCTCCAATATGGGCTGTGCATTCCCAGTGATATAGAAAAGGCAACTCATTCATTTCTGAAATGTAGGCACAAGCTGATTATGTGTTGCTGTTCTCAAAAGACAAAACAAAACTGAGTCAAGCACACAAGTACATTTGCATATATGTATATATTGTGCAAGAATCCATAACCATTCATGTCCTTTCATGAGCAGATGCACATAAAACCAAAGACCTTTCCATTCAACGACTAATATAAAATTCAGAGAAGACTAACCAACTGGATTTCCACATGTGTTAGTCATCCTTTATAAATTGTATTATTGTTCATATTTGAAAGAATTGAACTGAGAATTCAGTTGGGTGGTAAAAGGAAGATGAAAACTTTGCCCTATACTCTATGAGTCACAATTGGCTTTTGAACTCAGTTTATTCCTGGGGTCTACAACATCATGTATGAAATCACACATTGGGATTGTGTGCTCCTTTGGGGCCTTGGGATTCCAGGCAGATGCAATAGCCCTATAAAATCACAGCAAGCACAGGTACTCCTCACGGGGGAGGCAGAAAGGCAAGGGGAGATGGGAGGATGACAGATAATGCCCAACCACTTACAAATCTTTAGAAGTTGTTTATGATTCTACTGCTCACAGCAATCTCTTCTCTAGGTTACTTTAAGCTTAGAGGACTCTAGGCCATATATAAAATACATAGAGACCATAAAAAATACAAAGAGATAATATATTTTTGACACTTAAGATGATAGCACTAGCATATGTATAACCAGAACTTTCCATCTACTCCTATAAATATTCTCATTTTTGCATCACTGGTGAGTAAGGTAGGTGGGAAACTGTTCTTCCAATGGCTTCAGCAGCAATCCATATTACATGGGGAACTCTAAAAGGAGTTTACTTTGCAATCCATTCTATTTGCTAAATAAAATGCTCCCTCAAGAGAATGCTGAAATTATGAGAATCCCAGTAACAGAATTTTGAGATGTGCCAAAGTACAAGGGTTGTCTTATGTCAGAGAATGCTGTCATTCCCAGAGGAATTGGAAAGCGTTTCCTTAATGAATGACTCAGGACTTGTTTTTAGTAGAAAGAATATAGATTTTAGCTGGTTAATTTTATTTAACTTTGAAGAACAGCTGTTAGTGGGGCATTTATCCTCCTCTTATTCTTTGTGTGCAATCTGGTGACATTACAATCTCCTGACGATGCTCTGGCCACTCTGATTTCAAATGTAGGGTGATATGTGCTGACCATGTCATCTTCACCCTCCATTCTTCCAGGCAGAGATGGCTAGCTACATGGTACATGAACAAGTCGAGAGAGGCAGAGAGACCTACTGGAGAAGGATGCCAGCACACATTATTTTTAAAAATTTCTTTGTTAATTTTGAACATAGACTCAGAGGCTTCAGGGCATGGAAACTTTAGAGACACAGTCAACTGGAAAAAAAAAGTTTAAATGATAAGGCAGTAGTACTTTTTTGGGGAGGGAATAAGAGCTTTTAGAAGGATAATTTTTCTATGGTTTCTTCCTTTGCCCTCCCCATCCTTTTGAGTCTGGGTTTTAAAAAATAACTAAAATTATATGCACAAAGCTTTCTCGTAAGATTATGATGTTTCTGATACTTTCCTTTAGCTGCTCTTCTGGCTTGATGACACATTTATTTTATTATTTTTAGAGATTTTATTTATTTATTTGAGAGAGAGACAGCACAAGCGGGGGGGGGCAGGAGGGGCAGAGGGACAGGTGGATTCCCCACTGAGCAGGGAGCCTGACTTGTGGGGCTCAATCCCAAGACCCTGAGATCATGATCTGAGCCTAAGTCAGACACTTAACCCACTGAGCCACCCAGGAGCCCTGGTCTGATGACACACTGAAAATTACCAGATCATGTTTTGTCTCTTCCCCTGTTAATGCACAAACGTTAAGGCAAAGAAATCTAAGGGCCAACTCTTCACCCCACTGTGACAGAATTTAACCATCACCACCTCTCTCCCCTGTTGGTTTGCAAACCATGCACCTGGAGGGTTGTTTGATGAAGGAGTCTGGTGGACACCTAGTGGGGTCTGAGTCACTTTTGATGTCACTCAACCGGGCCCCCACCAACATCCTTTTTTTGTTTGTTTGTTTTCTGCTTTCTTGTTTATTCTTTTTCCACACTCTTTGTTTACCTTCCTTTTCCTCAGCCCTTTTTGCAGAACTGTCAGGGATACTCTCAGGCATTGCTTGGATTAAGGAGAGGCAGAACACTATGGATTTGTGTGTTCAATGGCCATTCCTGGCTACTGTTGCTTCTTCCTTAGAAGTTGGGTCCCAGGATCCTCAGGCATTATGAAATAAATCATCTAAAGACATCTGTCCCAGATGGGACTTTCCATAAGCACTGTGGCAAACTACCAGAATAGAATTTGTAAGTCCTGATTTATCCTGGGCTCCCACTAATATTGAAAAAACTAGTAGTACTAAAAGTAGCAAATGGTGGCCACATCCAGGTATAAGGACAACCTCCCTCATAAGAGAGAAAAGCAGAATTTCAAAAGCTGCTTCTTATTTTGCACTAAGACTCCAGAAGCTTCACATGCTGTATGTATCCTTGGTCTAGATTTGGAAAGGCATGACTCTGTGCACAGTTTTAGGGAAAAGGGTGGGTAACTGAACACAACTGATTAATTTCATGAATGGATTCAAGCTTCACAAATGCAAAAGAATGGCATTTATGGATTAATTTGGCACATGGGATGCTGCAAACATGTCAATTAAATTTTGGTACTTGAATCCCCATTCATGTTTTAATTAAAATGTAAGTACAATGGGCTTATTATCAGTTTGGCACAGAGAACAAATTCATTCAATTTTTCCTGCTGGAAAGAGCATTAGTTATTTGGCTTTTCCTTGTAAAGAGATCTAAGAAAGAGATCGAGGAAGGAATCAGGAATCAAAGGTGGTTATTAAATATGTCCCTGGTCTCTGAACTTTCAAAGCAGTCCAGATACAGAATGAGTTAGGTAGGAATTAAATAGTTTCTATCCCTTGAATCTAATATTACCAGATAGGTAGCTAATACATGTTTGCTTTAAAAGAATGCCTTCTCTTTACGTTTTTCCTTTATACCTTTGGTAATACGAATGTGGCCAGACACATTTTAGCTATATAGAAGCCAACTCCCACCCTGTGTGGTTTTCTCCCTCAGCCTTCAAATCAACTCAGATTTCCGCATACCAAATACCCCCTCGTGCTCCCCATTTCTGTCTTGGATGAGTAGTCTCTAGTGGGGCCTTCGCTTCCCCATCCCCAGTCTCTCATCTGTGACTTACTCCTGCTAGTCTGGCTTCTGCTGTGTCAGCATTTCTGAAAGCGCTCCCTTTAAGGTCACTGCTGACATCCTAACGACCACATCAAACAGCCATTTTCCCTTTCCACATTCTGATTGATTTCTGTGCCTCACTTGACATTGTTGACACACCCTTTCTGACCCCCTGATGTCTTCTGTTTCTAAGCAAGGAAAGTTCTCCTGGAAGTGATTTCTACTCTTGGTTTCTGTGATACTCCACACCCTGGCTCTCTTGGCTTGGGGTGAAGTTATCCATTCAAAGGTCCCGGCTACGGATGTATTGTTTCTCACCATCATTCTTCCTCGATGATGGCATAATTATCCTTATCACCCGTAGTATTCCATTATGCACAGCCTGGAGGAGTTGCTAAATAAATGTTTCTTGAATTTAATTAAGATACTCACCAATCTAGTACACCTGATAAACCACAGCATTATTCTACGGTGGAGTTATCACTCCTCTTCATAATTACATTGTTTGGGACTTCCTACTAGCAGTTTTGCCTCTGTACTTAAGTATCATAGGCAGCTAAAGGTAATAAATACCTTACAATTATGATAAATATATCTGAGTCAAAAATCATGACACATAATTTGATAAAGGACCTTTTATAAATGTGAGAAGAAGTATGGGAGATCCATTTATTTTTGAGGTAGTCATGACTTTCCAGAATATTTTGATACTTGTGTGGACATTTAATCAAATGTTTGGATTGGTTCTTTTCCTGAAGATCTGGACTACATAGTGGTATAATATAAGCAAACCATTATTATAACTTTTCTCTTTTAACTAATGCATATTTTTTGAAATGCAAAAGTATTGTGCAGATATATCAAGGTAATCTATGCTATTAGGTGGTTCTTCTCTTGCTTTTTTTGTTTTTAAATAAAGTATATTCAGAAGCTGAGATTTTCAAGAAATGTGCAGAGATTTAGAATCTCAAATTAAATCCTACTTTCATTTTGCAACTGTAATTACTAGGTCTCATTTTCCTTCTGGGCTTACGATAATCTTTTAAAATTACAAGGATTTTACAGTCAGTGTATAAGAATAATCATAATTTAAAAATTTTCAGGCCAACCTAAACAAATACTTTATACTTGAGGACAAATGCGAAGCAATATCTTCCATATTTTCTACATATCCAAAAAAAAAATGACATGGAAACTTACAGAATGAAATGATCTCAAGCACATATATTCTCCAAGGGGTGTTAGAACATGCTGAGATGGATAATGAGCTGTCATCATGGAAACACTCTAGAGATGTGTGCTGTGAGCCCGCAGACCTGAAATAGTACTATTATTATGAAACATGCTTTTCTGCAATTGTTTCAGTGTTCTGGCTTTCAGTCCAGTGGTCTAAGTAGCTGTTCAAAGCACTTTCTAAAAGTAAAAAAAAAAAATCTGAATTTTCCTTTTCCTCCTTCATTTCCGTAATAACATTAAATATTTCAGCCTAAACCAAAATTGGTAAGTATTTGCAGAACTGTTAGGTCAAAAAAAAATGTTTTTCCTTTTAAGTAAATTAATTGATTCTTACTGAAAGCTTTTGAACTATGATATTCTATTCTAACTTAAAATACCATTGAAATGTTGCATTTCGTAAGTGGCATGGTTTAAAACAATTAAACTGACATATTTAGTTGATGTAAAAATCATTTCATCCCACATTAGCAAAATTTCCAGTAAGTTCTTTGGAAACATTTAAATTGCAAATCTCTTGAGATACTCTAGCTTATTTCTACTTATCTAGTCCAGCATGGTCCAGTATAAATAAAATGGAAGCTACATAAGTAATTTAAAATTTTCCAGCAGTCCATTTTAAAAAGCAAGAAGAAACAGGTACAATCAACTTTAATAATGGATTTCAAGCTGGTATATCCAAAATATTATTTACGCATTCATCAATATAAAAAAATTAGTGAGATATTATACATTTCTATTTCTTTTTTGTATGAAGTCTTGGAAATCCAATATGTATTTTACATACATTTTAAGCATATCTAAGTTCAGAGTAGCCACATTTCCATTGCCCACTAGCTTAATGTGGCCAGAAGCTACTATATCAGGCATCATGGACCTAGTCAGTCTGGTGGCTTTTATTGGCCCCTGGTTTTTTTAGTCTAGTCTTTTACTAAAGCATTTTATAAAGTAATTAATGAGCATGACTCTCTTCCCTTCTCTTTTGTTTCCTTGGCAGCCAAGTAGACCCACTTTGATGGGACTTGCTCTCTACCTTAAATACGTGCCTATGTGGGTGAATCAAATTAGCACAGTGATTATATACTAATAAGCTGATACTACTCAGAAGAATGATTTGTTACACAGGATGGAAGACGTTTCATTCACAGGACTGTGGGTACTGCAGAATACTTGCCAGAGGAATCCATTCGAAAACTGGTCCTTGGTGGCACTTGTTCTGGATGGGAAAATGGGGAATTAAAATTGAAATTCATTTACGACATTTTAAAATTCATCTTTAACTTTTTTTGTTGTTGCTCTTATAACTCACCCCCAACCTTTGGTGCTCCAATTTAATGATTTTGTTTCTCTAAAATCCATGGACGTTAGTGGACAGGACACACCCTGTTTTATGCATATGAATAGGTCTGTAAATATATTTCTTTTATATGCACGCAAAATAGAAAAATCTGAATTCTTTTAGATCAGAATGAGAAAAAAAAGATCCTCCTTTTCAAAAATTAAGCTTTGACTCTCATTATAAAAATGCTTATTGAGAAGTAAAGTCAATCCAGAACCTGAGATATGCACAAAATAAATAGAGGTCTTTTAAAATCAGGTTAAGATATCGTGTCATCAAGTACTGAGATGAAAAGTGGAAAATTCAATAAAAAGTTGACTTATGTCCATCAGTCCAAATACTTTGATACTTCCAATTATTTGGACAGTTGAAGTGACGTAGAAGTAGTTGAGTTACATCGGTTTCCGTTAGCAATACAGATCCTTCATTAGGATTTTGATGTAATTTCTGCTACATATAACATAAAAATTTGTGGACATGAGCATAAAATACTGTGTACAGACTGTAATAGATATATGAGGCACTATAAAATCTGTATTTTATTATTACATTAATAAAAGTTAAAATAAGACCAAATTCTGATTGCTTTATTATTGAGCTTTGTTTCATATAAAGAGTTCTCCACTCTTCAACAACAAAAATGAAATAGAAGCTTTTTGAGGGTGACAACAAGGCAGAGTGTCACTGGCCTTCTGGGGTTGACAGGTGTTTCCGACCATACCCTGCACAGCACCCTGCACCCTCTCTCCTTGAGGGCAGAATGATCATCCCTGCCAGGTAATCTGTGTTTTTGCAGTAAAGGCAAATTAGTTCTCCAGAACTGTTATTTCCTAAAAATCCACCATGTATAGTGTGACTGCATAGGATTATAAATGGAGAAATATCCTTTCATCAGAAAGATAGAGCTGTATCAGGGATAGAAGGCTGCTACCTTCTAAACACTTCCATTAGTTGTAAAACTGACATTTTATATTATCATAATCTCACTAGGACCTACTTGCCATCCAGCAATTACATTCGGTTTACTGCAGTCCTGATGGTCTCATATTTATTCATGAAAGTACTTTGGGTTGCATTGTCAACTTGTGCTACCAACAAAATGCTCTGACATACTAAAGAACTTTCAGTCAAGGACTGATTTTAGAGTTTACTTCTCACATCCTCCCCTGGCCCCCCACCCCCCTAGCCTCTGTCTGACTCCAGGATCATTAAGTTTTAAACTATTGAATGAAATAAATTTATAAGCCATCAGATTGGATCTTATTTCTAAAATACATGGGAAAAATGTGTCCCCAACCTATTTATTTCACTATCTTTATTTCTTAGCTCATGTCATGGTAACTTTCTTTATTAAAAGGGGCCTGTTAGAAATACAAATATTACCATAATTGTTTACAAAGCTACCCAAAAGTACTATTTTTGAAATTAGATTTCCCAATTAAAATGCACATATTAAAAATGGCAAACCCAGCTTCACTGGAATGACTGATCTCCTTGATCAATATATTACAACTGCAAAGTGACGCATAATGTGCTATACTAGAACTCTAGCTGAAAGGCAATTTTTTCCCACAGATTAAACCATAACATAAATTATACGAAGACCAGCAATAATGACTTTCCCACGGGAAAAAGGTACAGGAAATTAACCTTCATAACATCGTCGAGGACATTTTAAATGATAATGTTATTGAATTTTTTTCTAGCCTTTTATGATTCTAATGCTAAAGTCATTGACAAAAGTGTCTTAACATTTATGTATCATCTTCTTTTAATATTTCACTAAAATAAGATAGTGCACCAGAGAACGTTTGTTAAGAACATTAAAGCCATTGGGCAACAGCAATGTCCAAGCGAATGAGGCCAGGGCTTGGTCTAGCAGCGTTCAGATGTGCGGGTTCTCTCGGAAGGCAAGGTGGCCTTTCATGATCCCTTAAGAGCTGCCTACGGCTATGGCATCCATGATGCATCAGAACCTTTCTTAAACCTACTGACATTTCCAGCTTGACTGTATCAGATGTTTAATCACATTGGCAAGGGAGACTGGAGCCTGAAAGGCTCAAGCAGAAGCACTTGCAACAGGCTTCCAAGCTCTGGATGTTGCATATCCACCTTGTGTGATGTGGCCCCCACCACCAGTTTCCATTTAGAGTCTCAAGTCCTGAGCTGGCTGGCTCGTATTTTTACACTACCTCCACCTTTCCAAGTGACTCTCGTGTTAGGAGGAGAGACAGTACCAATTACAGCCCTTGCTCACTGATGACACGGAAAAAGCTGCAGAAAAACCATTACTTTAGAAATACAACCACCCATTTGTGATTAGCCATAAGTTATATGTGCATTATAATACTGAACAACGAAAGAATTTCGCAATGAGCAATGGACAACAAACCGTAGGATAAAAGCCATAGATGTTTTTGATTCTGTTTTTGAATGGTTATGAAGTATAATTTCTTGTCAAGTATAGTACTAAAAACCACTTTGCTCCTCCATTATGCTCTAACTGGCCTGTGGTTACTTCTGATTGCTACCTTTGTGGCAATACTCCTTGCTTAATATGGGTTATTTCTTCTTAATTTCTGGAAAGAAAAATTGATCATGTGAGCTTTTTGAAGAAATTCCAGAGGAACTTGTGTTCTAAAGAGGTTCCACCATATGGCACATTACACCACACGGATCCCTTACACTTTTATGATCCTACATTTGAGTGATGTCTTACTGCAAGGGAGCATAGACATGTTGTACCTCATAAATTGCTTATTTATAATAAGCAAGGTTCAATGTGAAGAGGAAAAACTGTGGACAACTTCGGTCATAATTCAACTTGGGTTCACACCAAAGGACAGAATCACGAGGGAAGGGTTTCAGAGAACACGGATTTTTCTTCTCTTGTCTCTTCCTGTTTTCATCTGCTTGTTGCTCTGGCTTCTGAGGCTGCAGTGGGGAATATGCTCAAGAAATGGCTCCATGAACCAAGGATGATGAGGCAAACCTTAACAATAAGTCTGGCTTAAAGCCAAGTGAAGCATCAGGACAGGGCCCTCATTCCTAGATCACCAAGTTCTTTAGCATGATCAGAACTTTATTTTGTAAGATTCTAAAGTGATTCCGTTTTCTTTGGGAAGAACTTTTATTGCCTTGCTTGGCATCCAGAGGAGGAGTCACGACAGCCATTGTTCCGAAGTTATGTAAGTATAATCCTTCCTAGAGGCAGGAAGACAGACAAAATTACCTCCCTTTTGGGCCTGCGATTATTGCGATGTGGAATCTGATTTACTGTCTGTGAGAAGAACGAGAACTCCATGGCAAAATCCTTAAATGAGTGAAGTCTTGCTGCCTATTTTTTGGACTTCGTTTGCCTTGCTCTAGATTTATACATATGCACAATTTTCTGAGTATGGAGGGAGTTTGCTGGGAGTCTGGCCCCCGAGACAAGCCACCACATGTGTCTTTACCTCAAATTAGGAATAAAGCATGTATGGGAAAAATAGTCAGCCAAATAAATTAACTTGCAGGGAATTATTTATCGGAGTAGGTATGAAAATTTTTATTCATGATCTGTACATTTAGATATATGCTTTTCTTGGACAGTAATGATGTTATTTCTTTAATAGATTATATAGTAAAGGGAAACCATATAATTCATCATTCAACTGAGGACAAACTGGAGAGTGAAAGGGAAGCTATTAGTAATTATGCCAGGGTGACACACAGCAGGACCGTCCCAGGCAAACTGGTAAATGTCGTCCACCTACGTCACCCCATGGGGATGTAGGTTGTTATGAAACTCTTTCTTCTCATATCAGAAATACGTGACACCATCACGTTTAGGGAAAATGGCAGGAGAAGATGGGAGAGGAGAGAGGCAGCGAGGGCCTTTAGGGGCAGTTTCTTTTTCAGGGTTAGAAATGGTAAACAATAGTTTCTTTTTCAAGATTAGCCTACAAAATGAGAAAATGTAAGCCCTTCCTCTTGTGATTGCAAAGAAAATTAGTCCTTCTTTCCTGAGAGTCCCGAGAAAAGGACAGAGAAGGGAGAAGTAAAAAAATAGCATGGCTTATCCCACTGTGCAAAGTTGCGTATTTTCCTTGCTTTCCACTTAAAAAAACGCAAGTAATGGGGACAGTAAGAGGTCAGTTATCAACAGAGGTTATTATTACACAATGAGAAAAGTGATCTTTATCACAAAGATTTTTGCCTTTTTCTGGGAATTGCTGGTAATGCCAGAGGGCCAATGCTTAAATTATTAACATGGAAACCCAAAAAAGCCCATTGGTCAAAACCTCTTTTGGGATTTTGGGGGGCATGTTTCTTTCAGATATAGATGCTTTAAGCTTATGTGGAAGTTAGAAAAAACAAATTTCTTTCTGCACAGCATTTTCCAATAAGGACTAATGAGATTTTTGATAATTAGAAGATACTGAACACATGACGTTCTCCTGATTAAACATTAATTTTGCCCATGGAATGAGAAACCATTGATCTAATTGTCTAATTACACTGGAACTGTTGTCTACAGTTACTGCACAGTTTCACTGGTTGAAATGCTGATATGATCTGCTGGGTTGTGTCCTGCAGTCTCATTCGGGAATTGTCTTCCTCGGTTTTTGTGTCCTTCATTTCGGTGGAAGTTTTGTGCAAGTGGGATTTATTTCTCGTGATTTTTTTTTTCCCCCTCGTGGAGTGCCCAGCAGAGCCCTAGACACGTGTTGCATGTTTCATGCATTCTTGCTGATTGATGTGGAGCCCGGAGGCGCTACCTCTAGACACTGTGTGCCGCTCTGAAATTGGAAGCACCCTGCTGGAAGAAACTTCGTTCTCGCTTTCTTTGGTTCCATCTCATCCTGAGCTCTCATGAAGACGGGAGGCATTTCCAGCTTTTCTCTCGTAGGCATGCGCCCATCATGTTCTGTTTCATGCAGGCTCTAGTCTCCTACGTTGTCTTTGTTTAAAACCACTCCATTTTTTTTTTTTTTTCGGAATACATCTTTATTAAGATGTCCCGTGCATGCACATTAAAATGTCAGCATAATCTAATTATGAGCCAAATGAGGCACAGCAGCATTTACATCATTTGATAAATTTCCATCATCTGCAGGGGACTGGTGACTTGAATCTAAATACTTCTTGACAGCCTTGATACAACAAACATTCTGGAGCTCTGTGCAGCAGAAGCGTGTGGGTGGAGGTACATCCTTTCTTTTTCTGTTACTGCAACCCAGTTTTGAATGAGAACGCAAAATATCTCTTTAGCTTTAGACCCGGTTGGAAGGGAAGACACCATGAAATTGCTATAGACCTGGGAACATGTCAAAGAGCTTGGTTTAGCCAAGCTCTGGTTGGGATTCCCTTCCATACTTTCCCTGGTCCCCATGGATTTTTCTCCCAGGAAAAAGCTTTCGTGGACTCAAGGATAAAGAGAGTGAAACCTAAACATTATGCATGTGATTCAAAGGAATAAGGCATGGTTCACATCAAAATTTTGAATATGGTTCCTTTGTATGGATGCCCATATTTCATGATCGTTAAAGAAAACCTATTGGGAGACGATGGGAAATACACTGAGCTTTCCCCCAATTCATTAAAAAAAAAAAAAAGGAAAAAAAAGATTTTCTGGCATTCCTAACATGTAAGTGAGAGAATGAAACTTTTTCATAATCGGAAACAGGTAACGTAGAGAGGGCAAAGGGCTGCTTTGTTTTTTCTAGACACTTGCAAGTCCACAAGCAGAATGAACTGATCAGCTATCCAGGGACCTGAGAAAGTAGCCCTGTGCTTGTTTGGTTTCCTTAATCTTCAGGGTAGAGCTCTGCCTCCCCTGACGTGATTTCCCTGTTTCTTTCACACTCCATTTAGTGTTATGAAATAACATGATAGAAAAGCAAAGGATGGGAAAGAAAATGAGCTTGCCCTCTTTTGGCTTCCTAAGACTTGTGACCCTGAAAATATTGCTGTGACCTCAGAAACATTAGAGAGCCGAAAAAAACACGAAGGGGGGACCCCATCAGAGCAGAGGCAGCAGTGGCATCCGCGGGGCACTGATGGGGCAGAGGGAACTGGGGTGGGGGTCAGGCTGTTGGGTGTTGGCGTGGCTGCGGAAGCAGAGGGGATAAAGAGCTCCCAGGGGAGGACTGAAAAAGAAAAGTAGGGGAGGTTAAAGTGGATTGGTTTGCTTGGATTGTTACAGGTGAGCGGCGGAAAGGCAATGAACAGAAACAGCATTGCAGGGGCTGGATAAAGAAATCAGAATTCTTCTAGGGTTGAAAAGGAGGTCATGCGCAATTCCTGCTCAGAAACTGAGGGCTGCACAGTTTCAGACACCATGAAGGGAAGATGGAATAAAGGCCAACATTGCCTTTGTCCCGAATAATAAAGCCTCGCATTGGTCAGGAAACTACAAAAGAATGGGAGCCAATGATGAACGAAGGGACAGAAACAAGAGGAAGCATCTCCTGAAGCTCCCTAAAAGTAATCAAAAGTTTAAACAAGCCAAGGACATGACGATATTTTCATCCTGCAATGCATTTCCATCCTCCAAGTTAGAACTTCTACTGTAACTCGATATCTACACCTGTTAATACCTATTCTCATTTGCCCAGTTAAATTTGTGAGAATAAGACATATTACTCATCTTTGGTATCTCTCCACGGTACTGAGAGTTAAGTGGGTATTCAATAGATACTTGGATATTGAAGCAGAAAAGGTATTAAGAACTGTGTTCAAATCTTTCATTTTTTTTTTGTTTACTGAGCATCAACACCCTGAATTCACACCCTATATTATACAGCTAAACATACTACTTTGTTCTTACTCTATCACAGCAAAGATATTCTAACTATACAGTCCTTTAAAGACATTTCAGTTGCTCATCCAGAAGGGGAATGATGAAATATAGTAGCCCTGTCAGAGCTGATTATTTAAAATAAAGAGGTGTGTGTGTGTGGGGGGGGTTCATTTTGATGAAAATGATTTCTCAATGCCTGCCCTGCCTGTTCTAACGATTTTATCAATGAAGACTGCTTTTACAGAGGGTTATAGAGGATGGGGAAAAGGAATTTTGTCTCCTCTTCCCCTTACCAGTTGGGTGCATATTTCTCAGCCCCTGAGCTCATAAAGAATAAACAGATTTCAGATCCTCTGTGGTCACACACAGTTTAAAACTTGCTATTCATGTTTCAGATGATAAAGCTGGAGAGAAAACATTGGAGGAACACAGAGACAAAGGAAGTCAGCAGCCTGTAAAAGGGAGTGCGGGGGACCAAACACTTCTCACCGGACTAGGTTTCTTGATCCATTTATTTAGGTTCCTATTATACTGTGCATTTCTCTCACAGATTCTACAGTCACGCCATTCAGATCCCTGGCCTCTAACATTTGGAAGAGATGACCTGTCAGATGGTGCAAAGAGGCACGAGGAACATATATGCAATGTTCAAAACCTTTGTTTTCTAATATTTATAAAGTGCAATGAAATAACTTTAGGGGACCTTCAAATAGGATGACAAGTGCATACACGATATTTTGTCTTATGACTGAATGGGCCCCACCGCATTAAAGGGGCCCCACTGTGTTAAATGAGAAGCAGATGTTTTGGGTAGAAATGATTGGCACCTGGCTCTCTGCTGGTTTCAGAACCATTACTTTCATGATTGTGAGTTGGAAGGACTCGCTTAACGTTTACTCATGGCCCTAAATTCTTCAATGATTGCATTCAAGAAAATATCTAAGCTGCAGACTCAAGATCAGATTGCACATAAAAATCCCAAACATTTATCTTATTATTTGGTGACTTAAACAAAACTACCCACCTCTTCTGCCACCCCTCCCCTGTCCTTCCCACCAAATACATTCCTGATTTTCCTCAGGGGCTTAGAGGGAAAACAGTAGGAAATAAAATATAAAACCAAAAGATATAAGGTTTGTGGGTTTTTTTTTTCTTTTTGAATCGACAGGCTTTTTTTTTTTTAAAGAAAAGTTTAGATCAGCTGGCTCTACTTTTGAGATACTTTTTGAACCTCAGAATATAAAATCATGCCAGATCATCTCAGCTTCAATATATCTCTTGGCAGGGCTTCAGCTATTATTAATGTACCCGTGTTTTATGTGGCTTTCACTTACGCCTACTTTCATATATCGCTCTAGATTTCTCGTAGAGCTCGTATGGGTCAGGCTTCCTTGGGTCAAAGGCCTCTGAGTCAGGAAAGGAAGTCCTGTGAAGGGCGGGTGGGAAGGGCAGGTTCTGCGGTATGGCCGGAGCAGATAAACTCGTTTGAGGACTGCCTTGATTCTCCCAGCGGTCCATTATCTGGAAAGCAAAAGAGAACACAAGATGGCTGAATTCTTCCTTGTCACATACCACAACCCTCCCCCTTTAAATTAGACTCTCCCGCCCTGTGGACTTTCCTTAGTTAGACCTTCTTGCCCTGTGGACGTTTCTTCCATGAACCATTTACAACTTGGGAATAAGTGTGAGAAAAGATCCTGTGTCTCTATATTAAAGTACCGTAGATGGTACTCAACATGAGTGGTGCCTGACTTTTGAATGCAAACATATATAACCTGGTCACCTATTGCTGGTAATCTCCAGCAAATCACTTAATCTCTCTGAGCGTTTTTTCCTCCTACACGAGAAAGATAACATGGGTCTCAAGATAGCTTTACACGTAAGTGTATAGAAATGTGTGGAACTGGCCCTGATACATTACACCATCTTTACTAAAACAGAAGAGAATAAAGTGGTCTCCACGTATTCTTTTGACACCTACACATATCCCAATAATCTCCTATCCCTAAACATTCGGTCACTTTCCTTACAGTTCGAAGTAATCATGCAACCATCTGGGATTTATGAATTGTTCCAAGTCTTCTGTGAAGCCTCATTTTCTGCCGATCTGGCAGTTTCTTCCCCAAAACGCTACTGCTGAGGTTGCTACCACTACAGTTTATTAAAGATCTCTAGAACACTTCCCAGTTTACCATGTTTTGTCACACACTGTACCTTCTTTGACCCGCACCATGGCCCCATGAGGTAGATAAGGCAGGGACTCATATCCTATAGTCAAGTAGAAAGCCGGGTTAACTGGGATGACCTGTTTGTACCACTAACTTCACCTTCATGCAACAGTCAACTGATTCAAACTCAACTTGTATTTTTCTGCTTTGAATAAACCTGCTCTGTGTAGAACTTAGATCAGGTTATCCTTTTGTCTAAAATTCTGCCTTGGGTCAGCACGGTCTTTAGGCTAAAGGCTAAGCTCCCCGCTGGGGCATTAGTGGCTCCTCATGACCCAGTTTTTTTTTTTTTTTTTAATTTTATTTATTTATTTGACAGAGAGATAGAGCCAGAGAGCACAAGTGGAGAGAATGGCAGAGGGAGAGGGAGAAGCAGACTCCCCACTGAGCAGGGAGCCTGATGTGGGACTCGATCCCAGGATCCCGGGATCATGACCTGAGCCGAAGGCAGACGTTTAATCATCTGAGCCACCCAGGCGCCCCCTCATGACCCAGTTTTGCCCGCTGTCCTCATACTCACTAATGGTCTCTCCTCTCATTCTCCAGGATCCATTGATTCTCACCTGCCTCTGAACCTTTGTGTGCTTTCTTCATTTCTCCTTCTACCTGCAAACTTTATCCATTTTCCACTTTTTCACCTCCCTTCCTCCTTTTACCTGGGGGCTACTAGACTCAGAGGAGATGTCTCCTCTGGAAGGCCTTTGCTGACCATTCCTGAACTGCTGCTGGACGCTCCCACGGCACCTCTACCCACCCCTCACACCCAACACTCATGAGACTTCAGGATAATGGCAAGTCTACCTATGTCTCCTCCAATAGCACACGTTGGGGACAGATCCTGGGGACAGAGTCTTCCTCATTGCTGTATTACCGACACATGGTAGAGCTCAGAAAATGTTAATTTAGTGAATGAAGGAAATCATCAATGGTCAGCTGTTCTTTTTTTTCCCCCCAAACTAGCTGACTCATAACCTTTCTTTTTTAAAAAACAAACAAACAAACTAGCTTTGATACATACTGTTTTGAGCTTGGCAGGATTACAACTTTCTGTCCCCTACTGACCTGCCCTGCTTTTGTTTCCATGCTGGCTACACCTTGGTTAGGGTTCCTACACCAGCTCTGGTTTATCAGTTATAAATATTTTAAAGTTGGAGGGAATGTGAGGTAACATGTACTGTGCATGTCACTTTGTAAAACAAAGTTCCCTGTGACTTGTTCACCTACCTGGGGCTGTGGCGGGTGTCGAGTGAGCCAGCAAACTATGAAAGAAATGGGTCACTGACCTGTCTCTCAGTAAGATTGATACTATGGTCTGAATGTTTGGGTCCCCTCCCAAATTTATATGTTGAAATTCTAACGCCCAAGGTGATGGTACTAGGAGGTGGGCCCTTTGGCGGGGGGCGATTAGGTCATGAGGGCGGAGCCCGCATGAAGGGGATGAGTGCCTTTATTAAAGGAGACTCAGAGTTCTGAAGACCCTTCTGCCAGTTGACGTTACAAAGAAAAGACGGACGTCTAGGAAGTGGACTCTCACCAGACACTGAATCCGCCAGCGCCTTGACCTTGGACTTCCAGCCTCGAGAACTCTGAGGAATAAACTGCTATTGTTTAGAAGCCACCCAGTCTATGGTACTGCAGTCTGAAGGCACTAAGACAATTGGCTCCATTTTCATTTGTTTTCTGTATGGGTTACTGACCAAGATTTCATTTGAACAAAGTTTCTATACCTAATGAGGATGGAAAATCCCTAGTTGAGCTCAATTCCCTAATATTAAACATAATCTCGAAAGCGCAAAGAGGTCCAGCAGCTGTCAGCAGCAGACCCCGGGTCAACCCAATTTGTAACTCTAACGGGAGTGCTTTTTACAGTAATACATTGAGGGGAATAACTGGCAAATTTGCTTAGAATTTTCGCTAATGTTCTGCTTAGTGGGCCTTTTGCTCCCATTTAGTAAAAATCTGCACTTCATAATTCATTTGATAGCAAAACTCATCTAGGAAGCCATTCTGGGTTTCTTTGGTCATCTATTCTCTGTGTCTTTGCTATGATGAGAAGACCCACATTTGTGGCTAAAGTCGTATTCTTTTTTAATTTTTCAAAGTTACTGGCTTTAGGCACCAGGCGGATGCACTGTGGCTGTGACTTTCTCCCTTCTGTTTCTAAAGATAAGATACTAAATTCTACACAGTAAGTTAGATATGTGGACTGAGCAGCTGTAGAATCCCACTCGTCATCAGAGCGCCTCAGCAAATGTCTATTTCTTTCTCTCATCTACTGAGGGTGAGCTGATACATAGGTCTTGCTGGTATATGTATTGTTCATGTGCAATCATTGGAGCAAACATGCTTCAGGTGAAATATTAGTATTTCTAAAAAACATTCTTAAAACTACAGAACAAATAATGCTTTAGGCATTGTTGGGAAGGTTACAGGGGCAGAGTGACAAATTCTACAATTTCTATAGCACAGAAGCAGGGGAATTAGTCAAGAGTCCGGTTTATGCTTAGGAAAGCATTCACAACATCTTGCTGTGACATTCATCAACCCTTGAGTCACTCTGTCAGGCTGTCTTAAAAGACTGTAGAGCAGAAAATCACTGTGCCCATGAAATAACCGAAGAAGCAGACTTGCAGTGCTATAGCTCCCCACCCCCAGATTGAGTTCTTTGTTGGCTTCAACCCCAAAGACCATGGCGCAAACTGCCTGCCCTGGGGTCAGAGGTCCCCCTCTGCTCACTGGGACTGGTGTGCTGATCTGACAGCATCTTTTGAAGGGCGCACTCTGTTGACTTCTTACTTTCTTAGACAACGTGGTCTCTGGACTTCTGCTTTCCAGCTGGGACACTCTGCTCACTTGTTCCTCTCAACCTTCTTGAACGCCCTAGATTCTGATCCTGTCTCATTGTCCAGGCCCTTGGACCTCACTTGTTTCACCTAGTGTTTTCCTGACCTTGGCTTGTCTAGAGTTGTGCTTCTGCCAGACATTTACCTCTCATAGGCTTCTGAATGGGCCTTGTACAGTCCCAGTGGTGTTCAAACCTAGGCATCTCACTAGGGTAAGGAAAAATGGAAATGAGGTTGTTTTCAGTATCTGGGGGAAACCTTGTATCTCTGCTGGCTGTGGTGAATGAATGAATGTCTGACTGTATGAAGGTATAGTCAGTCACTGAATTATCAGCGGACAGAGTGGACATATAGTCCACAACATGGCCGCAAACGGTAAAACAGGAAAACCGAATCATGATGTAACTACCTTCTGATCGCGGGAGCACACTGTGAATAGAGGGCTTGTGAATGAGGCAGCGCCCCACCTCCCATGAAGTACTCTATTGAGAAACTGTTTGCTTCCTATAGAACGGGGGGAGTCTAAATGTACCCCCTCACTAATTTAGGGCAGGGCTGGCATATGAAGGCATTTGATTTGATTCTGTACTTGAAGAATGAACTTGGATTCCTTCCAGATGGAGAGCACGAGAACTCACTACAATTAGGGGTATATTACTTGTTACGAAATGACTGTCTCAACATGGATTAGCTTAAGATGTAGATCAAGTTAAGACAGCAGAGGCTTAGAAGTGACACAGGACCAGGAGGAGGGGAGATCTCACTCAGGATAACATTTCCTTGTCCTGACTACAGATGTCATCAATCCTGAGAGGAGAGAGTATATAAATCCATATACTGTGGGTATATATGTATATATTTGTTTAGATGAACACTTCAGCAAACTATGTTCATTTTATAGAGTCATTAATTGATTAAGGTTTCATGTATGGAGTGTTTGCTCTCTAGGATGACAGTACTTTATATTTTTGAGCTCAATATATTTTAGAGGTACTGTTTTAAGCAACTTACATGGACTGAGACTCTTCACGATGACTATGTGAGTGGGGTACTATTATTGTTCCCATTTTACAGATAGAACCTGAGATACTGACAACTTAAGAGGCTAGTTGAAGGCCATATAGCTACTAAGGAGAAGCAGCAAAGTTTGAACCCAGGCAGTATGCCTTCAGAGCCTGCGCCCCAGAACGTGTATCATACTGCTTCTCATTACAGTCCTTAGTCTAAAGAGCTTCTGGTGGATACAGGAGGACATTAAATCGACAGTCCTATATCCTCACTCAGTCTAGAACCTGGAAGTCCAAGCCTTAGCTTTTGTAGGGATGTGTAGGTTCAGGATTAATTGTAAATTAAGTTCCATAAAACCTTTTTTGGAATTATTGACTATGGATGTAATTACTATAATGACAGAAAATGCTGTAATTATGCCAAATGGCGTAATTTGTGTAAATGTGGTACACATAAGGAAATCACTAAACAGCATAATTGTAGCACCATGATGAAGTTGCAAGGTTCCTTGTTAAATTAGATAAAAATGTGTATAACCACAGAGCACAGATTAACTTTGGCGATGGAAGGAAGAAATTATTTAAATATTTACCTCTTTAAATGTTGGCCAAGATAAATTTCATTTTAAACATTTTAAAACCCCCTCTTTTCAAACCACGCACATTACTAAATGGTTTATTAAACCCAAACAGGCCCAGTTTCCCCATCTGATATTCTCTGTGGACCAGATGAGACCAATCCTAAAGGAGGACATGCTTGGTGAGGAGGTTCTGCAGCTCTGAGAGATCAGTCCTTCATCTCCAGCTTCCGGTTTCCTTATGTCTCTTTGAGAGAAACCCAGAGCTTGGGCATATGACAGGGTCAATAATACTTCACTTTCACATCTTCAAACCATTTCAAGGCTTATTATTTAATTAAGCCAGTTATTGTACTTGAAAAGCACGCAAAATTATATTACTTCCCTTTGTAAAAGGAGAAAATCAAGCAGTTAAATAGTGTCTTGGTGAAAGAAATAGGAGAAGCATAAGTTAAGCTAAGAACTCCCTACTCACTGGCCAGACTTGGGGCCACTTTCATCTGAGCTGCTCAATGTGAGAGGGAAGAAAAGAAGATAGTGGGAGAAGTGATTCCCTGAGTTTTGTTTTTGACTTGCATCACTTTGCTATAGTTCTCTTCTAGTTGTGAGTTTTAGACATGCCAGGTAGGACACGGTATTCTAGCCCACCATGAAACGGTATCCCAGAAAACCAGTGCCGGTTCTGGGGACTTGGCCAGTTACTAGTTTCAATCTAACGGCAAGGAAAAACTGCTTCTAATTGTGCAGCCGACTTGGCTAACCCAGCCACACAAAAGAGTATTAAAATCCACCAGCCTCCTATATCGGCATCAACATTTCAGGATGATTCACGAGGGAACTAGGCCCAGAGAGATTAGGTGATGGCGGACGGAGATCACCAGCTTCTGAAGGAGATGCAGAAGTTGAGTGATTGCCAGGTTTGGTGGAATATGTATGTCTCTGCAGTATTTGCACACACGTATTTAGCATATACATTCAAATGTAAATATAGACATATAAATATATACAAAGTTAAATTTCTTATGCACCAGACTTAATTTGTAGGTCAAGACCTCTAGGCCTATCATTTGCACTGTGTCTAAAAATTCCACATTAAAAGACTATAGTTATTCCTGACAGGGGAAAAACAAAAGGTTTCTATAGTACACCATACTGAATAGTCTTAATGCCCATATTCTAAGTATATTAAAAAACAGGAAGAATTGCCTTTACAGGAAAGTAAGACATGTTATTTTTGTATTTGTGTGACAAGTACAAGACAAAGAGACTCGGGATTTTTCCTTTTGCCATCACAGAATCTCAGAGGTAAAAGAGATTTTGCAGTCACCCAAATAACTCTTACTTAATGGGATTGCAATAATAACTAGAAATAAAGAAGGAAGCATAATAATTCCAACTTACAGGCTTTGGAGTTTTCCATGGAGAAAAGAAACCTGTAATAAAGAAAACAATATTTGAACTTCGAAAATATAACCTGCCACCACTTATGGGGGGCATGATATTCAGATGATTGCATTAATATTAATTAGTTGCCTGACAATATATGCTTCAGTTTTCTTCAAGGAGCCCAAATAATTTCATTGGAATTATGTTAATTATTCTAAGAACACTTCCTTATTTGACGGCTGGGGAGTCTGAGGCACAGAGAAGGTAAACTGTATGGCAAATGGTCAGCTGCTTTACGAGATCTAAGATTGAGCCATCCTTAGGGATTTCTGTGTCCCGGCCATAGCTGGAGAATGGGGAAAGGTGGCGGGGGAGCGGGGGAGGGAGGGAGGGACAGAGAGAATATAGACAGAAATTAAGTTCTTCAAGGTAAATACCTTTGCTTAGTACAAAAATAATTCTGCTTTGTGTACCTTCTTTATGTGGTTAAAAAGGAATCAACAAGCCTTCTTGAATCCTACATTTTTTTTTTTTTTTCTGTTCCTACTTTTATTTGCGTTTACTTTATGCAGAATTTACTCCCGGGCCATAAGTTTTTGTTTCTTCAGTTTCTTCTGGGGTATCTTTTTCTTCTGTGCAACCTCCTCTACCGGTTTAGGAACAGTCTGCTCTTTTTCAGTAAGGATCATCTTGACGTGGCAGGAGGGCTCACGTCTGGGTTAATCTGGCCATAAGCCCTGTAAGTTCCACGCTGCGTCTGGGGGCTTTGTTCACCTGGATGTGCTCAATGACCAGAGAATCTACATCTAAACCCTTCAGTTCAGCATTACTGTCCGCATTATTAAGCATGTGCAGTAAAAATTCAGCCTTCTTTTTGGCTCATGGACCCTGTGTCCGGCCCCACTGTTTGGCCCATGCACACCTACCACTTCCACCAGGGTGGCCACGGAATATCACACATTGCTTCTGCAGAGGGACATCCTTTAGACACCGGGTAGCTTTTCAGATCTGCATACCCCTGATGGCCTGGGCAGTTTCACGTGTGTTCTTAAAGTGACCATGGAGATTTGAACCTCTTGATTTGCATGATTTTGTAGGGTTTTCTGGGTCAAGTGAATAGTGAACTGTTTTCGGAGATCACCTCGGGCCGCTTACAGAAGAGCTCATTAGTCCTAAATTTAAAAATAATGTCTATACCTATATTATGAATCAGATTCTAGTGTATAAAGGCATAACTCTTTGGGGACTGTTCTCCCACAGAGACCTTCTCTGAGCAGGTATCTATTTATTATGCTAGTGCCAGCAATGTTGTGCTTGAAGAAGCAGCTCAAACTGTTCGTTAATTGAATGACTCATGTATCAACAAAGCCATGCTTTTTTTCCCCCCGATTTACTGAGCAACTTTTATGATCACAAATGGTACGTAGATTGGACTGTCTCTGTTGTGATCCAAATGGCCATTTAGATAATGAAAAGCAAAAGACAGATTAATTCCCTTTCCTTTTATTATTATCATCATACGGTATCAGTTTTTTAAAAATTAGTAAAAACAAGCTTAAAAATAATGGTGGGGAGGAGGGCGGTCAACATATACTGGCCCTAGTAAGCCAAAACAGAACAATTTTGCTCATGTTAATCTTAGTTGGTATCTGAAAAATGCCCAATAAAAGTGAAATATTAAAAATAAACCACATACTGTGTATTTATCACCTTAAAAACTGGGATCCTATAAAATGGTAATAGTTGAAAACTAGCCCATTTATCGGAAATACCTGCAGAAATCGGGACAGCCAATTCTTTAGATGCTTAAGCAATCGCACACAGGCATGGCGTAAATACTAACTGTACCTCAGTGCACGTTGTGAAGACCTGATACTTCATTTAATGAAAAGAGGGAAAGGTATGTAACCTATCAGGTTTCTCAGTTTTCTTTGGAACCCAGAGTTAAATCTAATGCTCAAGTGTAATAACCATCCTACCTAAGGAGATGAGAAGCATCAGCTCATCTTACATATCCTGTAAGTTCTTATCTCTCTTTCCAACTAATGAAAAAAATTCTGTTCGACATGTGGTTCGATTGTAACTTAATTATAAGGATCTAATCACATCTTTTTTTGGAAGCAGCTGAGAGTGAAAATTACAGATAAATAAATACATTTGTCTCCTTGACTTACTCTGTAAAAATGCCAACAAAAACAAATTGACCGCTAAGTCTACAGGAAAAAAAAATGTAACCTATTGGCCAATTAACCATTATTTTCAGTGAAGGATAAAATCTATTTGTTGATTTATGCAATTGCCAGCAACAGGTCTTCTGCAAAAGATGTCATCTGTACATTCTCAAAACGTCAAAACATTCGATTATTTCCTCTGCTTTCTTTGCATCATCACCTTCTTCCTGGAGCGCCAGAACGGATTTTGAGTATTTGCTGTTTTATATTTGTAAGGTGCTGGGAGTTTCTTAGACTTTGATACAAATGTATTGAAAATGGTTGTTCTGTTATGGAGCTCTCGCCTCCGCATGGGACATTATGCTAAAAGATGATGAGGTGGCTCCAGAGGCTCTGGAAAATGTGTAATCATCTGACCTCTTAGCAGTTATGGTGCTAGAACTAAAATGGCATAAGAGGGCCACTGGTCAAGATCAGACAAGGAGAGAGGGATGTTTAATGTCACCACCTTTCATCAGAGGTACTTTGGCTTCCCATTCTTTTAAGGCTGTTTCATTTAGTCTGACCCCAGACCATTGGCGTGACCCAGGGCTTCTTTCCTGCTCCTATTATGGCAGTTTCTGGAATATTTCTAATGCTGACTTGTGCCGCAGAGCCTTCAGTCTGAAGCAATAGTTAGCCTTTCTGAGACATTGTCAAAAAGAGGCTGGTTGCTAGGAGTAAGTAATTTCAGGTAGTAAGAAATAGTATCAGAATAGATTTCCCCAAATAGAAATAACTTATGTGGCCCTTTGTGTTTCTTTGGCAAATTATCAATTATGCTATAAACATTTAAATGAAGATAAATAGAAAACATTTATCTCAGATATACTTGATTTGGTTTGATTAAGCCAGAAGGTCAAGTTTTCTACATGATTAAAGTCCAACTTTCTGTTCAACTCCATTGGAAGAGCTACAGAAATGCTGTAACAGTGTGGAACAAACTAGCATATATTACAAATGTACAATATGTTTTTTTGTAGGATGGCCCCTCTTCGAAACCAAGTTTATTCTAACTAATATTAAAATAAAAACACCAAAAATAAAGGAAAAACTTTTAAATCCCTATTTCTGTAATTTTTCTTTTTCTGGAATCATTCTAGTTGGGGATAGATCACAGAAGCCAGTTAGGTTTGGTTTGCTCAGGGTATGACTTTTGGGTTTCCCACCACCCATCTCCATAGGGGAACAGAACAAGGATCTAGATAACTTTTTCTTAATCTTTCAGAGCTATGAACCTAATTCATACAAAAAGAGTATTTCTTCAAAATAATAGTAACGTCACCTTTATGTTTTAGTTTCCTTCTGGCCTTTATTTCCCCTACTTCTATAGAAAGCAGTATATTATATTCCCTTGTGGGAATAAAATTTCTTTATAATGACCTATGTTTTCCATATTACTCATTTATTGGTGTATGTTTGTGTGTGCACAAATACAAACATATTTATTTAATCCTTACTCTTAAGACAACAAAAGTGAAAGACCTTAAGGTACAGTTATAAGCTAACAAACCATAAATCGGGACATAAAAGGGAAAAAATAAGAGAATAATGGGAAAATTTAGATGCAGCTAATGAGAAAATTTAGATACATTTAATACGAAGCTCAAAGTGGAATTAGGTTTCTAAGATCTTTGTTAGAAATAAAACTAAAATACATATTTAAATCTGCATCTAAAAGCACAGTGAGATGGGCAGAGAAACAGAAGCCCACTACAAAGAGCTTAGATGAGAAATTTCAGTACTTGAAAACGGAAGAGAAGACAACACTGATTTCATATTGAAACCTGAATTGAATTCTACATGTCAATAAATACAACTTTTAGTAAACTACAGGAAGATGGTTGTCAGATAAAATACAATATGCTCAGTTAAATTGGAATTTCAGATAGAGAATGAATGATTTTTTTTTAGTATAATATGTCCTGTATACTGTATGAGATATATGTTATATAGGACATACTTAGATAAAAAAATTTTTGTAGTTCATCTGAAATTCAATTTAAATAGGAATTCTGATTGTTTCAGAGAGAGTGCACATGGGAGTGGGGCGGGGAGGGGCAGAAGGAGAGGGAGAGAGAATCTCAAGCAGGCTCCACACCCAGGGTGGAGCTCAACCTCATGATGCTGAGATCATGACCTTATCAAGAGTCAGACGCTTAATGGACTGAGCCGCCCAGGCGCCCCAGAATTCTGTATTTTTTATTTGCTAAATCTGAACACCCTATCAGGGGAACACTTTATATAACTCCATTTAAAAACAAAAACACAATCGTAATGTCTACTGCAGGTAATACCCCATTCAATTAAGTAAGAAACCCAGAAATGACTTAATATTTTCCTTTTCTTGCACCCCATCCAATGTTTTATTGTTTTAGAGGAACCGCAGAACATTCCATTTGCTGTGCAGATTATTGGCTTCTGTTGGTTGTCTGTCCATCAGCAGCCTTGACGTAGGCTTCCCCTGATGTGATGCGAAACTCCGTGGCCAATGTGAGCATCTTCCAATTGCTTGATGACTGGTTGGCAACACTGCCTTGTCCCAAGAGGAAGGTTCCACAAAGTGGCTCTTTTCAAAACCTACTTCTGACACATGATACCCAGAATGAAAAAATATCAATATATTTACAGTAGCTCTGAAGGAGAGCCCCTTTCTAGTGTGCGTTTGTAAGTTGTTTGGTAAGATTTTTTTTAATTATTTATTTTCACACAGCAACAACATGTTGAAATTTTAAAATCACCCCAATTTGAATAAGAGATCAAAACACAATGAGGAACAACTTAGATCAGAGAGTTCCATGATGATATCTTCAACTTGGAATAATGCCAAGACAATT